TCTATTAGAATGCGTTGGTTTTCTATAAACACCAGCGTGTAGTTTGCCTTCTTCTATTCGTTTTATTTTACAATCTAACATCACAGCTAATTCTCCTTGTTCATTTTCCGATTCAAATGTGAATTTTATTCCCACCACTAGTGAGTTTATGTGTGTCAAGAAGCTAGAGATATGTTCTGTTTTTAACACTGTGTGTGAGTGTCATCCACATATCTCCACCATATTTTTGGAGGAGGATTAGGTGAATGTATTAAGAGCAATATTTTCCCAGCTATCCATCCATGAAGATATCTGCTACGATGGGGGATATTGGGGATCCCATTGCTACACCTTCAGTTTGTGTATATATTTTGCTTTGGAATTTAAAGATAGTAGATGTGAGGCACAACTGAATTCCTAAAATAATTTCATCAAAGGGTAGTTTCGTCCTATAAGTGAGTTCAGGGTCTGCAGTTAATTCTTTTTTAACTGCTTCTTAGGCTTCTTAGGCCCAACACATGCAATAGGAATGATTCATCACTCATACCCGAAATATAGGAAATATTACTACCAATCAAATCAAGTGAAAAACAATGGAACTATGTAAATGAATTTAGGAAGTCATGTGATTACCTTGATATGATTATGAGCAATAAATTGTGCTCGAAACGACATCAGTAAACATTACTGTATAACAGTGTGAGACGTTATCAAAACAGCATCATAAACTTAGACAGACGGCGACTGATAATACAATCATGGCCATTAAATATATCACCTAATCTCTTGAAGGAGGTGTTCACTTACTTAAACTGCTGTAATCTCTCAATACTGATGAGGTCAACTACTTTATTCCAACTGAACTCAAGATCACTTCTGAAACTGAATGGAGACCGGGTTCATGTCAACTAAAAGCATGTAGCCTACATGGATTACACTGCTTACTGTGACGTTTGATGCCTGCTTTCCCATCTTCGTGACAAGAATAAAGTACATGTAGGTACTTATATTATGCTGCATCAACCATGCCGTCTATATCATGATTAACCAGACTGCTGTGTGCTTCATACTAATTTAAGGATCTCTGAAAATAACAGTCAAGCGATAATTGAAGTTGCATCAATTTGTCACCTCTTCGGAACATTGCATGCATTCTCGACACTCCTGTCAAGTCCTTAGATCTTGATGTGGGGTGAATTCATTCAATTCAGCAAATAAATCCACTCGTATATCATTTCTCTCCAGAGCTGTAATAGTATGTGTTGTCAGTTATGCACCCGACTTCATTAAACGCTCCGGGGGATTGAGAACTTCACCAACCAGCTCAATGACGCTTGAAATTACCCCAAGTCAAATGACAAACTGGCCAATCACAAGCAAGTAAATCACTGGTTTATCTCACTTGCGGGCACACGAAATTACGACCGTCGACAGGTCACCCCGTCTCCAGCTTCTCGCTTTCCACATCCAACAGCCAATTCTGCCTCGTAGCTGATCAGTACATCCACATTAGGATACTTCGCTCTAATCTACGTTTCTCTCCGCACGTGCACTCCGGTCCTTTGCATATCTTACGTGTAGTGAGATTCTGTGCTCCCAGGAAACGAACTATTTCTTCCCTACCATTCTGTACGTCTATATACATTTGAGTATTTTGGTACAATTATAGCTTTTCAAATGACTGCATTCTATGTGTATACTGATTTATGTGGACTGAATACCCTTCTACATGTATACTTGTTTGTATTTGTTTTGTCCGTTTTATTTCATGTTTGTTTAGCACACAGAGAAATCTGTCTTTATTAATTGTTCTCTCAAAAACTAGTAGTCCAGGAATGCATAATAACCTGAGAAGAAAAGATGATAACAGACAAGAGTAACCAACAGCAATATACATAAAGGAATGGAGAATAGTGGTGAGATGAGTAGTCATACATGTTATTCACCGTTATGATAATCATGAGGAACTAGTTCTTCGATATGTTTTACGTATTGATAGGCCATCAATCTATTATTAGGTGCGTCTATCTATTACATGGGATACAACAGCTGATAAGAGGAAGAGTGGGTTCCGTTTTCTGTGGTCTTTCATCGTTGTTCCTTCGGCAATTAACATGAATACGAGTATTAACAACATTCCTATCCTGATACTCTGAGCTTTGTGACAGACTGAAAATAGAACCTCTCTCGAAAAGGCGTCTTAATCTTAACCTTATTTTCTACTACAATCTAAGCAGTCATCTCCTTAATGTTTGTTATGTTCTATTCGTGTTTCTATATGTGACTCTCTTAACGAACAATCTATCCATGTCAACCGGTTTGAATGGCCGAAAATATTATCAACTTCTGGATTTCTAAAGGGCGATAAGAAAGCTTATTTTCGATAGATTCTTTTCAGGATAAAAATAATAGGAAAGAACAGTTGTTGCTTTCAATAAATTCTTCGTCTTCAGGCTTTACAATTATAAATGCAATAATTTTAGCATACATTGGCCAGCTAGTACAGGCAAATTACAAGTGTATCAGAAAGTGTATTGCAGAGCGAGTACAAGATGGAATAATAGTCAGTTAGATTTAATTATTATTTAAGCATGTGTAGTCAATAAGAACGCGAGATCAGTTGAAATGGAATAATCCAGTGATATATATATATGTATATATGCATGCATCGATCAAATCACAACGCCACGTATCATCATTGAAGAGAGCTGGGAATAGCAGTCAACTTCTACCTCAACTCCATCGACTTTGTAAAAGCCTTCAGCAGACAGCGTCGATCGAGATGTGATTCGGAAACTTCTTCGCCGCTACGGGGTGCTGCCAACAATTATACACGTCATCCAACAGTTCTGCGATAATGCTGCATGCCAAGTAATCCACAACGGGAAACTCACTGCATCCTTCGAGGAGAAAACGGGAGTAAGACAAGGTTGCACACCATCTCCAATGATTTTCTTGATTCCAGTTGACTGGCTAATGCTACAGACACAGGGCGGGCAACGAGGAGACAGGCATAAAATGGGCCTGATTGTATATGTCTGATTTCCCACAAACTGGAAGACATGCGAGTGAAAGGCGACAAGTTGGCAGAAGAGGCATCCAGAGAAGATAGGACTCCAGGTGAGCACAGAGAAAACAGAGGTGATGATCAGATTCCTGGCCAACAGCAACAACAACAACAGACAATAATCAACCAGCATAAATGGGAGAAATCTGAAAGAAGCAACCTCCTTTACCTACCTACCTACCTACCTACCTGGAAAGCATCGTTCCAACTACAGGCGGACGGAACTGATTTGGATATCATCAAAGCGAGGATCGGGAAAGCAAGACAAGCCTTTATTACTCTGAAGTCTGTGTAGAGACCAACAGCGCTCCTCAGCATGAAGAATAAGATGTGGATTTTCAACTGCAATGTGAAGTGAGTGCTACTACACGGATCAGAGACTTGGCGCCGCGCCGCGTCGCTTCACGAAAGCCACTTAGAACAAACTACAGACCCTTCCTCATTAACAGTTGTCTTCACTGAGTACTTCGCTCAAGATCAGATTGCGGGCCGCAAAACATCAGCAGCAGAGATCTCTGGCAGGAAATGTCCCCTCCGCCGCTGTATTAAGTCTATATTTTAGAATGTCAGCTGCAATCTCTCATTTGTGAGTTAACTCTATAGACGAAAGGTGTTTTATTTACCCCACACCTACTTTTAAAAAGTTGTTTGGATTTCCGTTTTCTTGCAGAATAAGTCTCAATCTAGACATTTCTTCCTTTATGCATTCCTCTTAACATATGTGTTCAATTATATAACTAAGGCGCCTAAGTTCATTTTGTAATAAAATGGCACTAAACTGCACTGCATTCATCGACACACAACCACACAGTAGCATGGTGGGAGAGGGTTGATATTCTAAGAAGTAATATAGGCAGGTGGAGAGAGAGAGAGAGGTTGATTACTGAATCCTTGTTCATCAAGTCTACACCCAACACATGAAATAGGAATGACTCATCACTCATACGGGAAATATGGAAAATACTACTACTATTACCACTAATCAAGTCAGGTGATGAACAATAATGGAATTATATCAACGAAGTTAGAAAGTTGTGTGTGAGTAATGCCTTGATATAACTATGAGCAATAAATTGTGCGCGAAACGTCATCAGTAAATATATAACACTGTTTAACTCTGTGAGGGAGAGGAGAAAACATTTTAGTTACTAAATTCTAGATGATTTGATTCTTTGGCGTTAGCAACAAGTTATCACATCATCAAGAATTTTGTAGAATAGCAATGATGACTAAGAAGATTAGGATGAGTTACGTGAAATGCAAACCAGCTAATAGTATTTGCTAGAATTGTGAAAATTTACAAAGTCAAATGATAGTCACAAGGGGAAGGAAAGAATCGTTTTAAAAACTTAAAACATATTTTATGTAGTTCACTATGGCAAAGAAGAAGCTGCTGTACAAATTTCTTTTGAATACACACACACACGCACACATTTGGCTTGTTCAGATGAATTCCGATTGCCTCTGCTGTATGTGTAAAGGTGGTACTTGCTGAGGTTGAGTGATATACGATTAATAAATAACTTCAAAAGCTTTATCAGATTCGACTTGATGTCCATTCAATATGGAGTGTCACTTTCTTTCTTCACAACTGTAAATGTGCATCATCGACATATATCGGCAATAGAAATCAAGATTACATATCACATCTTTAAGCGAATCATTCTCTACTTTCGCCAGGAAAATATCTGCTAGCATTGCGCCTAGTGGTGATCCCAAGGCAAGACCATCTGATTGTCAATACATTTTTTTATTGAACAGGAAATTTACGTTCATTGTACACCTTAATAGAAGTTCCTTTACGGAAGACACAGCGATTCCAATACCTATGCCTTATCGCTTAATCAATCCATTATCTATATAATCAATTGTCTCCATCAAAAGCACAACGTTATGATAATCATGAGGAACTAGTTCTTCGATATGTTTTACGTATTGATAGGCCATCAATCTATTATGAGGTGCGTCTGTTGCCTTCAGATACCTCGACACGTGTTATTTCTGAGACGATATCCTTCGTCTCGCAATCCTCATGTGATACTGTTTCGGTACTTGATATGCCCTCGTCCTTAAAATCAGCACAAGATTTTTCTGTTTCTTTTTCCATAATCGGTGGCGATTCATCTAATATGAGCTGGGGTAACAAAGGTAATCTTTTCCGTGGTTCTGAAGGAGATTTTGAAGCTTCTTCTAGATTTACTGCAGATTTGGTCTGTGGGTCAATCACATCAAGTGGTCTTCTCTCTCTGACTGGTATAGACATGCTGTCACTTGAAGTATGGATTGCATTTGACTGATTTGGGATATTCGCAACTTGGGGTACTAGGGGGCTGAAGTTAAGTTGGTGCTGAAAATGTCCGTAATCAGTATGAGCCGCCATACTCATGTGTTCATGCTGCTGGACCTCAAAGGGCATGGGACAAAAAAACGGTTGTAATCCGCAGATGTAGCGATGATCCATGTTGCGGATAGGATAGAATGGGCCTTGAGCCGTCGGCATAGCTACATTTTCTAAACGTGAACCTGGCTGAGGGAGATATGGCATTGCCATGTGCTGAGCGTCAGTTGGCCTGCTACTGACAGGCAAGTTGTACATGTTAGGAAACGGAATAGACTGCTGATCACTCATGGGACTGCATCTACCAACATGCAGAGTGAAAATAATAAGTGTGCCCACCCTAACCACGGAACCTCACAGACGTGGCCATCAATCAGCAAAGTCGGGCTCGCCAATTTGTTGCTGCTCTATTTTGACTGAACTAGAATACACGTATTAATACTTCCTCGCGTTTACAATTGTGCCCTAACGTTGCGATTACTCGACATCCGCAACGTAATTCAAAAGGCACTTGCGAAGGAATACGATAGTGTATTATTGCAGCAATCAAAAATTCAAAAATCGAGCGAGTACAAAAAGTATCAATTGTTAACATGCATGATTTAGAGTAATAAACAAATGAAAGCACAATTACACAATGAAAGTATAGTACGATTATGAGTAATAAAACGGGTCACTACACGTCTATCTATTACATGGGATACAACAGCTGATAAGAGGAAGAGTGGGTTCCGTTTTCTGTGGTCTTTCATCGTTGTTCCTTCGGCAATTAACATGAATACGAGTATTAACAACATTCCTATCCTGATACTCTGAGCTTTGTGACAGACTGAAAATAGAACCTCTCTCGAAAAGGCGTCTTAATCTTAACCTTATTTTCTACTACAATCTAAGCAGTCATCTCCTTAATGTTTGTTATGTTCTATTCGTGTTTCTATATGTGACTCTCTTAACGAACAATCTATCCATGTCAACCGGTTTGAATGGCCGAAAATATTATCAACTTCTGGATTTCTAAAGGGCGATAAGAAAGCTTATTTTCGATAGATTCTTTTCAGGATAAAAATAATAGGAAAGAACAGTTGTTGCTTTCAATAAATTCTTCGTCTTCAGGCTTTACAATTATAAATGCAATAATTTTAGCATACATTGGCCAGCTAGTACAGGCAAATTACAAGTGTATCAGAAAGTGTATTGCAGAGCGAGTACAAGATGGAATAATAGTCAGTTAGATTTAATTATTATTTAAGCATGTGTAGTCAATAAGAACGCGAGATCAGTTGAAATGGAATAATCCAGTGATATATATATATGTATATATGCATGCATCGATCAAATCACAACGCCACGTATCATCATTGAAGAGAGCTGGGAATAGCAGTCAACTTCTACCTCAACTCCATCGACTTTGTAAAAGCCTTCAGCAGACAGCGTCGATCGAGATGTGATTCGGAAACTTCTTCGCCGCTACGGGGTGCTGCCAACAATTATACACGTCATCCAACAGTTCTGCGATAATGCTGCATGCCAAGTAATCCACAACGGGAAACTCACTGCATCCTTCGAGGAGAAAACGGGAGTAAGACAAGGTTGCACACCATCTCCAATGATTTTCTTGATTCCAGTTGACTGGCTAATGCTACAGACACAGGGCGGGCAACGAGGAGACAGGCATAAAATGGGCCTGATTGTATATGTCTGATTTCCCACAAACTGGAAGACATGCGAGTGAAAGGCGACAAGTTGGCAGAAGAGGCATCCAGAGAAGATAGGACTCCAGGTGAGCGCAGAGAAAACAGAGGTGATGATCAGATTCCTGGCCAACAGCAACAACAACAACAACAGACAATAATCAACCAGCATAAATGGGAGGAATCTGAAAGAAGCAACCTCCTTTACCTACCTACCTACCTACCTACCTGGAAAGCATCGTTCCAACTACAGGCGGACGGAACTGATTTGGATATCATCAAAGCGAGGATCGGGAAAGCAAGACAAGCCTTTATTACTCCGATGTCTGTGTAGAGACCAACAGCGCTCCTCAGCATGAAGAATAAGATGTGGATTTTCAACTGCAATGTGAAGTGAGTGTTACTACACGGATCAGAGACTTGGCGCCGCGCCGCTTCACGAAAGCCACTTAGAACAAACTACAGACCCTTCCTCATCAACAGTTGTCTTCACTGAGTACTTCGCTCAAGATCAGATTGCGGGCCGCAAAACATCAGCAGCAGAGATCTCTGGCAGGAAATGTTCCCTCCGCCGCTCTATTAAGTCTATATTTTAGAATGTCAGCTGCGATCTCTCATTTGTGAGTTAACTCTATAGACGAAAGGTGTTTTATTTACCCCCCACCTACTTTTAAAAGGTTGTTTGGATTTCCGTTTTCTTGCAGAATAAGTCTCAATCTAGACATTTCTTCCTTTATGCATTCCTCTTAACATATGTGTTCAATTATATAACTAAGGCGCCTAAGTTCATTTTGTAATAAAATGGCACTAAACTGCACTGCATTCATCGACACACAACCACACAGTAGCATGGTGGGAGAGGGTTGATATTCTAAGAAGTAATATAGGCAGGTGGAGAGAGAGAGAGAGGTTGATTACTGAATCCTTGTTCATCAAGTCTACACCCAACACATGAAATAGGAATGACTCATCACTCATACGGGAAATATGGAAAATACTACTACTATTACCACTAATCAAGTCAGGTGATGAACAATAATGGAATTATATCAACCTACCCACCTGGGAAGCATCATTTCAACTACAGGCGAAACTGATGAGGATATCAAAGCAAGAATCAAAAATAAGATCCGGATTTTCAACTTCAGTGTGAAGTCAGTGCTACTATACGGATCAGAGACTTGCACTGCGCGTCACAAAGAGCACATCAAACAAACTACAGACCTTCATTAACAGTTGACTTTGCTCAATACTCAAGATCAGATGGCCGGAAAAGATCAGCAGCAGAGATCTCTGGGAGCGAACCAACCAGGAACCGATGGTGAAACAAATAGGCAGGAAGAAATAGAGATGGACTGGCCATACTCTGAGAAAACCATCAATTGACATCACTAGACAAGCCATAGCTCGAGTGGAAGCCGAAAGGGAAGCGGCGAGTTGGTCGTCAGTGCGAGGGTGACTTGGAGGAGGCGATGTGAAGAGGAGATGAAAGCGTGTGGGCAGACTCGGAGCCAGGTGAAAACTCTAGCAGAGAACCGAACGCAATGGAGACGCACGGCTGAAGCCCTATGTTCATCTAGGAATTAAAGGAAACAATAATAATAATGATAATAATAATAATCAACGAAGTTAGAAAATTGTCTGTGAGTAATGCCTTGATATGGCTATGAGCAATGAATTGTGCTCGAAACGTCATCAGTAAATAAATAACACTGTTTAACTCTGTGAGACTTTATCAAAATAAATTTTACCCATAATGGAATTATACTCTACCACAGTGCACAAGTGCTACTCCTATATCGATGATACATATGGTCTTTCTACAAGGAAGCCTATCAACAAACTCACACGATTTTGTCAGACAGAAGCAAGATTCACAAACCATCGGATTTTCAACAGTCGATGTTTAACAAATCATATAATTCCTAAATATTTACACCTACATACTCCAATTACCTCAAGAAAAATAACATCAGCAGCCGAACATGTCAGTAGATTATGTCTAAGAGAAGAACTATGTCGAAATATTGTCAAAATATGCAATATACGAAATGAAATTGAAAAACTCAAACAAGTGTATGTCGATGACAAAGATTATGAAATTGTTGTTGAAACAACCAAAACAGTTAGAGGAACAGCATTAAGAAAACCAAAAACCACACAAATTAAAAATTTCAACAAATTAGCAGAAGAAAAGAACACAATAAATGAAGAATTTGACAACAACGTTTCATCCTCTATTGACAGAATAAAATGGGTGATCAACCACTTCTCATCAAGGGAACTAAGCTCTAATGAGATAAAGGTACTAGAGGAAACACTAAATTTCGACGTAATAGTCAGTAACTAAAACCAGGGGATGTCATTCCTAACATCGAAGTAGCATTAAGTTCAACTGATAAGACGACAGCAGAAGAGGTTCGAGCACAATGTGCGTTAACCCTGAAAAATCAAAAGGAAGCTAAATCAAACTTAACAAAATCGGAAAGAGAAGCTGTAATTAGTCTAAAACAGGATAAAAACATCGTCATCACAAAAGCTGATAAACGTAACTCCACAGAAGTAGTAGCGGTAAGCGGTGTACTTCTGTCCAATCTCTTAATGTTGATAATCTTAATAAGTCTTTCATACGCTCCTCTGTCGATATCCTTCCTAATGATACAAATCGCATAGACAATAATTTTAGTGGTTTTAATACCCTTGATATGCTTAAATGTCTCCGTTCTCTTAAGCCTTCCCAAAGCCTTGGTCCTGATGGCGTACCTGCCATTGTCCTCAGGAACTGTGCTGATATTTTGTGTTACCCTCTTACTAATATTTTTAATGCTTCCTTTTCCAGTAATGTTCTACCTTCTGCATGGAAAAACATTAAAATCATCCCTATACCAAAACAATCTTCTGGTACCGATATTAAATTTAGGCCTATTGCAATTACTTCTCCTTTTTTAAAATTGATGGAAAAACTACTTTTACTTCGTCTTGAACCTTCATTGAAAGCTTTTAATGATCCTAAGCAATTTGCATATAAACATGGTAGAAGTACCTTGGATGCTGCGGTTGTCTTATATCATAATGTTGTTTCTTGTTTAGACAAAGGTGCCAAATATGTTCGTGGTGCTTTCCTAGACTACACATCTGCGTTTGACTCTGTACCTAGGGGCCTTTTATTAAATAAGCTCTCCTTGACGCACACAGCATCCTGGGCTAAGAGTTGGTTGCATTCTTATTTTTCCGATAGAATGCAGTATACTGCATATAATGGCAAATCTTCTTCTGCTTTGCTTACAAAAGCCGGTGTTCCTCAAGGTGCCGTCCTCTCTCCTTTTCTTTTTTCTTTCTTCCTACACGACCTGCCACATTTAAATGAAACTAATTTTGTCAAATATGCTGATGATCTGACTGTGTCACTGCCTATCACTTCCGAGTCTGACTGCTCCAAACTTAATAACTTTCTGTTGGACATCAGCAAGTGGTCTAAGTCAAATGGTCTTATGTTAAATCCTTCCAAATGTCAGGCAGTTAACTTCACCTTCAAGCATCGACGTAACATACATGAACTAGTTAGTTCCCATGATGCCTGTAGCATAGATGGCACAGAAATTGAAACCAAGTCAAGCATTAAATACCTTGGATTAGTTCTTTCCTCTGACCTTTCATGGTCATCCCACATTTTATTGATCTCT